CTTGCTGCAGATTTAATGGATTTCTTCTTTGAAAGAAATATTATATTTTTTAAAAAAGTAGAACGAAAGTATTAAGGCTGAGAAAGTTAAGGTAATTTAAGTAGACTTGAGTAGATTGAAATTACAAAGAAGCTGTTTTGCAAGGAAATTTGATAAATTAAAAAATTGAAAATTTCTTGAAGTTATTTATCATCATCATGTTGAGGATTTTGTAAGAAAAGTGGATCAAGTTGGTCTTTGTAGAATATTAAATTTGAATTCTTTGGAATGTTTGAAGGTGTTTCAAAATTTTTAAAAACTTATAAAAACTCTCTGTTCATGCGGAGATAGCTTTTTATTTTGATTAAAATCTTAATCTCAAATTGATCAATAATTTAATATTAAATGAATTAAACTAATATTTTGAATTTTATTGTTTTAAATCCTTATCAAGAATTCCTTTAAAAATGCGTGCTCCTCATCATTTCTAACTCAACAATTCTTCGTCTTTTTAATTTCTAATATTCCGAGTTATTCTACCTGAAAACATTTTCCAAAAAATAAGAAGATAATAATTAGATAACCAGTGCTTGATGTGGGGACTTTTATACCGTCGTAACATGTCTGAAGTAATAAATATCTTCATCACCTTCGATAATGATCAGCAAAAATTCCAAGCTTTCGTTAAAATCCATTAAAAAGTCTTGACAGATGACAAATTTTTATTACATTTAAAAAAAATCCAATTTATCCACCTCCGATGATTATTTTTGGCAAGAAAATTCCTCAGTAAAAATGAATTTTTCACAATTCATTGAGTTCATACAAAATATTTATTAAATTAAAATTTTAAACAACTTTTAAATGTATACATATTGATAAAAATTCTCAAATTGAAAATCTGACTAAAATTTCACTACATTTATCAATTCACACATTACGCTTATATGAATGTGTACAATGTCTCTCATTCAACTCGCGAAAATGTTTACAATATGATAAAAATAACTGAAAAATTATGCTTGGGTTGAAAAATTTTCTTATTTTTTGGCGGATTTTTTTTATTCAGTTTGATTGACATTTAATTAAATTAATGGTAATTTTTCTGTGAGATTTTTTGGGGGATTATTTTGACATTGTTTGAGTTTTTCTTAGTCTAGTCAACCAAATGTTGGGTAACGAAACTTATTCAAGGTTTGTTCTTGAACTTGTCAGAATATTTAAACAATTTTTATAAATGTCTTGATTTGAGATAAAAGTTTCATAAATTAAAATATCTTCGATTGAATTACATTATTCAATGAAATTTATATTTTTTAAACCTATTATAAATGTATTTATTAATTTGAAAATGTTCTGAATGCTTTTAAATTGTTGAATGTCCAAAATTTGATTTTAATTGAAAGTTAAGTTTTGAATCATAAATTAACTTTAAATCTAAAATCTTCGGAATTATTTAATCATATTTAAGGCAACAATTCTTCTTAACATTTAGGTTAAAAAAGTTTTTAAAGCCTGATTAATATTGCTTGCTTCCGCATCGCCTACATTTAAATATCAAGCATTTCATTCTATGTCTTTGACATTTATTGTTGTCTAAAGCTTCTTTACTTTTTCTCATACTTGTCATTGTAAACATTTTTCATGAGATTTTGGAAAGATTCTTTTGAAATTTTCATACTAAAGAATTGTTTGATATAAAAATAAGGACATATTGCGCAAAAACATATAAAATATAAAGAGCTTAATATTAAAAACACAATATTAAACTGAATTATAGCCACAAGAAAAATAATATGCATAAAAATTTATTTTATCAATATTTTTATTAAAAAACACAAAATATATATTTTTGCAAGGCTTTTTCTTCTTGTTTCCGTTTGTACGTAAAAAATATTGATTCTTTGTGGCGGTTTATTGCATATTTATGAAAAGAAATTTCCTCATACATTTCATAATATTGTTAACCTTGTGAACTTCCAAAAAAATATTTACTTCACGTCAAATTAAACAGTAAGACATCTTTGCTTATTTATGATAAACAGCGTTTCTGAAACTGAATGATCCAGGTGTCATAGAGTGAAATAATAGCAATTAAAGTGCTTCCGGGTCTTACGTAATTTTTTTTTAAAATAATAAACCAAAAATAAATTCATTTAAACATTTTTTTTACATTTCCTGACAATTACATGAATATAAAATCCAAGATTATTTTTGGGATTCCTAGTGAAATTCAAATTTTTGAAATGAGAGAAGAGCTAATAAATAAAATACTTGAAAACCGTGCAGGTTTTATTTCAACAGATGAATTTCTACTTCATATTTTAAATAAAATAATTCTGATCTGCGTATGGATGATTTTTATGTAAACATTTGAGCAACAGATTAACACGCTTCATTATTATTTTTCATTTAATTATTTTCCTCCAAAAAAAATCAATTCAACTTTTTCGTGGAAAAGCAGATGTGTACAGTGTTAATTAAAAGTTCTTCTTTTTTTATTAAGCGTACTTCTGTAAATAATAAAAGCATCAAAGCTTATTAATTAATCAAGTCATTTGAGAAAAGAAATTAAATAAAAGTTGTTAAGAATTTCTGATTGCTGCAGAATACATAAAAGAAATATTAAATTAAATATGGGTTAATTTCAGTATAAAAACTAAATTCGTAGCGATCGCTAAACTATGTATTTTTAAATATTATAAAATAATAAGCAACCTAGACTGATCTCATTAATTCACTTTCTTTCATACTAAGCATTACATTGTATGAAACAATTTTATTGGCATCGAAGAGAATCTCTCATCAGTCTGTAATGTTTGATGGCAATTAAGTATCGCTATTTGATGCGCTCTAATGTTTGATCATTATTAAGCACTGGAGATTACATTCGAGACTTTAAATTAATGTTTTTCTCTTAAAGTTAAGCATCTCTAGAGAAACATGATACTTATTGGATAATCCATGTAATTTATTTATTTCAACACTCATGAAATGAGCGTTAGGTATCTTCTCATGATGAATTTTATGGGTAACTGAACTTTAAGCATATTAAAATCATCACAAATTACATCCTTAAATTGAGATGTTGAGCAGAATCTTGATGAAAAAATGAATTTTTGTTCAAGTCTACGTATGATATGATTAACTTGTTGTAAGGTAGATTAAATTTTTCTCACGCACAATAAACGTCTGACCTTGACATCACTTGGAAGTCATAAATTTAACGATGAACAGAATTTGCTTCCAATAAATAATTTTCATGAAGTCATCTCCTTGAAATTTAATAAGCTATTGCATTCTATTAATACAACTTGCTTATAAGATTCCAAAAACCATTTAAATACTTTCTGAAAATTCATGAATAAATCAATCATCAATTAAATTTTCAAGTGTATAAAAAACTCATTAGTCTGTAAAAATTTTAATTAATTGTGACTTTCTGCATTTTCTCATAACAAAATTCCAAATACTAATTCCGTTATGACTTAATATTATCTTGCATACCCAGTTGAAACAGAAAAATCTGCCCCGTAAAATAAGATAAATTTTTTTCTCCATTGCCTGAGAAATTTTCAATAAAAACGAAAGATTTATGACAATGCCGCAGCTTCAGGCCATTAAAAAGTAAATAAATCTTACGAATGAGTAAAATTTCGCTGCAAAAAGATTCTTTTCACGAGAAAAATATTTTTATTTACACAGATTTCTTGCCCTGTTGAACTTTATTTCTCTTCTCCAATTCAACGCAGCATGGTCCATAAGAATGTCCTTAGTATTTTTGTTGTTGAAAATATTTGCGAAAGGTCGATGCTTTTGTCTTTTGAGTTTTGATATTTACGGTTAATAAATGAGGCTGAAAGTGAACTGATTGCGGATTGGGATTGAAATTTATGTTGCGTGGGACATCCCTTTGGACATTTAGATCATAATTGTTGATGATTTTGACTAATCGATGGTTTGTGGATTTATTGAAATAATAATTTTGCTTTGGGGCATTCATGTAGCGTTGCGACAAATTCTCTTAGTGGAAAATTGTTTATTGAGCCATTGAAGGGTACGAATCATGAAGATTTCATCATCCTCGATGAACATTGCTAGTGCTTACATCCTATCACAAGCAAAATCATCCATTTAACCAAGAATCATGTTCAATTGCGGTTTTTATTAAGATATTCAATCCTCTTGAAAATACCACAGACAGTATTTCGTAATCAAAATAACTCTATCATTAATTACTATCAACAACTACCAAAGAAAAATTGGATTGACATAAACCGAAAGCATTTACAATATTTTTTTTTTAAAAAAATCTATTGGTTGAACACGTAAAATGTTTAAAATTCCACTTATTAAGGTCAACAATTGTCTGATCAATGCTCATGAAATTTGTTAATTAAAATAGCGGAACAAAAAGGTATACTTGAAAGGGTTGAGTGAAAGGTATGCAAAAAAGGGTTAAGAGAGATCTTTATTTCCACTGAGCATTTCTTCTGTTCCTTTTCTAACTCTACTTTACATTCTGTCGGTGTCTCATGTCTAACATTTTACTTGACTTTTCGTTCCGCTCTCTGTAGTCGTCCCTTTTCTCGTTCTGCTGTAGCGTTTTTGCTAATTTGGATGCGTATATACTTAATTTGCTTTTTTTGTGATAATTTTTTTTCACATTTATTCTTTTTCATGGCAAATTGATAAAAAGGTTCTTAAATTTTCATTAAAATAAATTCATTACATTTTTGGGCTCTTGTGTAAGTTTTGTGAGAATAAGGTTGTCTGGAGCTAGACATATTACAAAAGAGATCAAAGCTATAGATTTTATGGACAATTAACTTAATTATTTTTATTATAATTCTTGTATTGAAATTTCTCTCAAAGCATCCACAAGTCACATTAATTTATTCATACCTTCCTCATTATAATATGTCGTACTGCTAATGACCTTAATTCCATTAATATTCTCTCCATTTATCTTTTTTAATTTCAGAATCATTTTTAAAAGTCGAAAGAATTAAATTAAAAATTTAACAAAATGAATTCTTTTGACGATACAGCAACAAATGCGTTCATTAATGAGAATTTACCATCATATGACTTTATGATACCATCAGACCTTCCAACACTAAATTCATCGTTATTTTATCAAAACCTCAATTTATCAGATAGAGAATTTACGTGTCCATCGATTGTACCGAATAGCTTTGGACGATATGTATCGATGATTTTGTTCACAGTTGTCTGCATTATTGGACTATTTGGAAACAGTTTAGTGATTTATGTGGTGCTGCGGTAAGTACAGCAATTTGTACAAAATGATCAAATTTCTAACTCAAAAAACAAATTTTATGAATGCAGATTCAGCAAAATGAAAACAGTCACAAACTTATACATCCTTAATTTGGCATTTGCCGATGAATTTTATTTGATTGGCGTGCCCACTCTTATATACACAATGCATTTAGGCGAATGGATTTTTGGCGTCCAATTATGCAAGCTGTACATGATATCAACTAGCATAACACAATTTACATCATCAATTTTTCTTGTCATCATGTCTGCCGACAGGTATGAGAATTTGGTTTTATGTTAGAATAATTTGTTATGTTTTCTTTGTGACCTAAAGGAGTATGGTCATGTTATTTACTGACTATGCTGATTCTTTTTAGAATTGCAACTGTAGGTCTGTATTTAATCTTCCAGAATCTAGAATATAAATTTCTTTAAGAGTCTTTACACGTATTCCAGCTTACAATTAATTTCCTCAATCTTCAATAAACAACAAAGGTTGGTGACCTACATGAACAAGATCCATCAATGTAATCCAGCAATTGCAATTAATTTGCTCTATCTTTAATCAATTTCATGTCCGTTATATATGTCTCGACACAATTGAACCACAGTTCATCAATTCAAAGATCTGACCTAGATTTTATTGAGCTTCCTTCTTTTACTTGTTTTATAAGGGATATAAAAAATGTTTGGATGAGATATGGAAGGAAAGCAATTAATTTACATTCTTATAAGAGAAAATCAATAAATTGAGGGGATTTGATTCACGATAATTTATTTTAATATTTTTAATAGTTTTGAGCATTTTTATGAAAGAATATTATGCAAATTTTTACTTTATATATTTATTTAATATCCCAATAATTTTTGTGAATTCATGCAAAATTGACCAACAAAATCTTTATTTCGAATTTATATTGAGATTATGATTTGACATAATTTTCCAGTAGAGATCCAACTTTTCTGGAAGTGTTATCTTCCCCCAAATTAGCGGTGTAGCCAATGGCTATCATAAGCTTTCAATAAACCTTAATTATTCGTTTAAAAATCGTAAAATTCTCAGTATTTATTTATAAATTCGGTAAAACAAGCATTAATTAATTTAAATTATATAAAACAGGATTAAACAATTTATGTCGCTGTGGAGGGTTTTGATTGACTCATTAGCGATTTTTAATTAATTTTTCGATCGATATTTTGGAGACAATTTGTCTTTGTCAATGTTTGTTTTTAAAGATGAACAAGGAGAGAATTATAATAAAATTAGGCTGAATAAATGGGAAGAAAATATAGGTCAATGAATAAGCAATTTTTTAAAAAAGAGGAAAAATTCAGAAAATAATTTTTTTAAAATAATGAAGATAAATCCTTATTATGAGAACTTATGGTCGTTGAAAAAGGCAAAGTCAGAATTTTTTAAAATTTTAAGTTTGAAATTTTCAAGTGAAATTATTCTTTTTGATATTTAAATTAAAATTAGAATTTTTAAGAACCTTTTTAATCCACACGAATATGTAAAAAGGAATTTAACCTGAACGCAAATTACCTTCGGCAATGATTCAAATCTGATAAGCAAAATTGAATCTTACGTGAAAAATTTTCTTTGATTTTCTATTTGAGTAGAATACATTTTTTTGGGTTAATGCCTTTTTCTTGCGCCTTCTTAAAATGCCTCCAATTTATTCAAGGATATGCCTTAAATTCAAATTTTATTCTCATCTTTTTTTCATTTTACCCAATTTCCTACATGCCTCAATTCACATGATTCTATTGAATGATTTATATTGGATGTTTATATGTGTGCACAACAATGAGCTGAAAGCATCATGACTTTCAAAATTTATTTATAATAAAAGAAGAAGAACGAGTGTAAAAAAGAAGTGAGCAAACTTGCCGAATGTTGTTTATTGAGGGATACAATTGAGGAATATTCTATTTTTTGGATGAAAATTGAGCGCGATTAGATTTAAATTTATTGACATTAAGCTGATGATGAATTGTATTTGGATTTCCTGTTTACAAAATACTTACGAATGGAAACTTTTATTCTCGATACTTAGAATGTGATTAGGATAATTTTTCATGCAAACGTAAGCAAATTTGTGCTGAATTTTAATGATTTATAGCTCCTTAAATTATAACGAGTATTACTTAAAAAAACCATAATCTTCTACAGCCAAAAAGAGTTGCTTAAACAGCATCAAAAATTTAATCAAGCATGATATCAGTCCTTTAATCCCCAAAGCTGCACAAAAATCAATTTATATAACTCACTTATCACAACAATTTCATTATATTCCAATTAATTTATCTACAGATTTATTGCTGTTTGTCACCCAATCAGTAGTCCACGTTTTCGTACACCACTTGTATCAAAAATAGTATCAATATTCGCATGGTGTTTATCAGTAGTCCTTATGCTTCCAATTATCTTATATTCAACAACAGTAACAAGACCGGATGGTAAGAAATCTTGCAATATCATGTGGCCATCAAGTAAAAGTAGCATAAATAATTCAACACTGGATGAGGAAGGGCTTATGGAAGCGGATGGATCGACCTTTACCCTTTATACATTCACATTAGGTTTCGCTATTCCTTTATGTCTCATTTTGATATTTTATTTCTTCGTACTACGAAAGCTTCGTACTGTTGGACCGAAGACAAAATCAAAAGAAAAAAAGAGATCTCATCGTAAAGTAACTAAGCTTGTTCTTACTGTGATTGCTGTCTACGTTCTCTGTTGGACACCATACTGGGTAAGATGATATGATAATATGTACTATGTTTGTGATGGATATACGGGAATAAGAAGTTTTGATTTTGTTTGCTGTTGTCAATCAAGGATTAGACATCCTTTGACATTTTAAGAGATTTAGAAAAATTCAATAAGTTGAGTTGTTATGCTCTAGATAGGGGCTTTATCAGAAGTTTTAAAATCACAAGGGTTAAGACCACTTGTACCTAAAAGCTGGAGATATGGAATACTGAAATAAAATTAATTAGCTTAATTTCGGAAAAAATAAAAAATGCTCGACGTCTCAACCTAAGATTTCACATGAATGAACTGAAATATATATCAGCGAATGGATATATTCATCTGTTGAGATAAATACGAGAACGAGCAAGCAGAAGAAATTATTGTAATATAATAAGACTTTATTATGATTCCTGTGGATGTTGCGTCACTAGAGAGAATTCTAGTATATTGATTATCTTTGCATGAGAGACATGCAAACAAAAAAAGAAGTTTCTTCTGTCCAAAGCAGACTTGTGTTATGTGTCATTTAAGATACTGCTATGATAAAAAGTTTTTAAAGGTAGATTATATTGAACGAGCGAGTTAAAGGTGAAATGAGGGCAATAAATTATGTTGAAATGTGAAAAAGTTTGTACTTTTGGAAGTTACTTTAGAAACTTTTTCGAGAGATTAAATAGATTGTTATTTGCTATAAATGGCTCCGTCTTTTGGAGAATCTCAAGTGAATAGTAATTTCGGATTAGAATTTTGATATCTGCGAAATAAAGTTAATTTACAGGAGTTTATTGGGAACTTGAAATTTTTCAAACTAATAAATCCAAACAGATAATTATTAATGTAATTACACAGTCAATTATGCATTGAATAAAATTGACAATCCCACCTATTTTCCATAAATTCATTTCCACATTCTGGTTTTTGACATGAAATCATTATTATCAATTTAATTACATTTTCACACGCATAATTATCCAGATGTGTGCACATGAGTGTAGGCAAATGTTTACAGTTAGAAAGATAAAAATAATTTTAGAGGCTGATAAAATTTTATTAAACTGATAACGGCTCATTTGCTTCAAGGCTATGAATAAATTAATTAGCAAATGCGGAAATTCAATTTTACGATTACAAATTAGATTTTTTTCGCAAATTATTTCTGCGAAATTTTGTTAAATTTGATATTAGTAGGATATAAAATATAAGGCAAAAAATGTTTTATTTTTTTGTACAAATTGTTTGCGTTTATTTTGGCATAAATTACAACTGATATCTAATGTGATCTAATTGTGTGTTCAGCGAATATCCCAAAAATATTTTCATTTTCATAAAATTTTATCTGAATTTTCAATATTCTTCTCATCCTTTTAAACAGGTAAGCCAAATGGCTCTAATCAACTCGTCACCGGAAAATTGTCAATCAAGATTGGAAATAACAATTTTCATCCTCGTCGGATGCCTTGGTTACTCAAATTCAGCAATGAACCCGATCCTTTATGCCTTTTTGTCAGATAATTTTAAAAAGTCATTCATGAAGGCATTCACATGTGCCAAGACGAATGAGATAAATGCACAGCTTCAACAGGAAAATAGCTTCTTTCCACGCTTTGGACGTGGCAAAAATTCTGAATGCCTTTCATCAAAACCATCCGCAAATCTCATCGTTAATGTAAATTCAAATGTAAATCCATCGAAATTTATTCAGTCTGCGAGATTTGGAAATACAGTGGAATCGATATTAGATGCAACTGAAAATGGACATACAACGAATAATGGACATCAATTAAATAAAGTGAACAATGTAAATAATAATAATAATAATCACTGTACAGTTATTCCACCTTGTGATGAAGAAAGTGACGATGAGGAGCAAGAATTACATCAAAACCCGGAAGATGCAATTTGCATTATCAATCCTGTAAATGGAACAAGCAAACCACCTGTATTGCATACCGACCTTTAAAGCATCAGAAACATTTAAATAGCTAGTAAAGATATTTATTAAATGAAAAAAGATAGAAACGTTGTTATTATAAAATTGATATCGGATAGTGTGAAAGAAGTTACATTAGTGATGGGATGGTAGCTTGTGATCAAATATTTGAGATTGAAATTGAATTAAGATCCTAAAAATTCAAAGCTTACAAGCTATTGTCCCATGAAATACCTTCCCCATAATGTAAAGTTGTAAATTCCTATCGATGAAATATTGTATAATTAAATTTTGTGCACTAGACATGAAAGAGCAGAGAAGAAATTTTTTATGTACGATCTAAAAGAAAATTGCAATGAAGTTCATTGTTGCCAAGTTATTCTTTTGTACATATTTTATGTGCCATTTAACATTAATTCTCACTCGATGATGTTAAAAATCCATTAATTCTTTTTCATCCACAATTTTATATTCTAATAATTTCCAAAAGAATTCACATTTGCACTTAAAATTTTCCATGATAATTTTTCAAAAATCATCGACATTACTAAGTGTGTGGAAAAATAATAAATAATAATCGAACGCTATTAATGTGAAACGGAAGGGAAAGTTTAACGATTTGGGTTGAAAATTAAGTTAATGACTTCTTTAGTTGCAAACTTGCAATCTTTTATGGCAAATTTCACTCTTTGCGTTACGTCCTAAATTACCATAGAACTTCTAATATCTTGTCTATAGGTTTTAAGCGCTTTTTGATAAGCTTTTGATTTAACGAATTTTAAAGAAGTTAGAATAAACTGTTTCAAATAGAAATCTTCAGATATCTTTATCTGATATCGATCCACCAAGCCAAAACTTAGTTCTGAAAAGTCAATTGCCAGTTATACATCGATATCGGAGCTAATAAATCAATTTAAACTTCATCAAAACTTTCAAAAGCTAAAATTCTTTGACAATTTAATAAAAATCATTAAGAAAGAAAAAAGATGACAATGAGCAGCAACAAAGTGTAAGAACACTCAAATGACAAATGCGTACTTACAGTTCAAGTTTACTTAGAATAATACTTAAGTACTTTGAAGGATTTATTGAGTTCATTTTCAAGAGAATCTTAGACTTATTATTATGATATAGGTGCTGTCATGTCTAAATGAGATCTTTTACAAATTTTCTAAAAAATTTGATGGGATCAATTCAATCAAAATGAAATGAACATCCACAATTTTTGACATTAATAACAAAAAATTAAGCTCATCATTATTGAACTCTTATGAACTCTTAAAGAATGAAAAACTTCTTGAAAACGGACCTGACCTTTCCTATTCTTTCTCATTTCATTTTCAATCTCTTATTTCTTCTTCTCAGTTTGACGCCTTTCTTTCCTTTCTATACATCTCAATTCACAAACTATCTGTGCTTATTTATTCTTTTTAGTTTTTTTCTTATTTACGTCAGTTTTGACTTACTCAGTCAGATGAGATTATCTTAGACATGAAGAAAACTTTTCCATCTTTTAATGCCAGAGATTGATTGAAGATGAGAGCATAAAGACAATGAACATTCTCAAAAATACAAATGAAATCTCATTCACCTTTAATTTATACTTTTTGTTGTTGTTCATTCTTGTATTGCTGATGAAAAAGTTTTTGATAGAAAAGCACACAAAACAATGAGCTAAGAAATAAAGTCTTTCCTTAACAATCTCATAAATTAATCGAGTAAGAAGTAAGATAAACAGCTTGTTAGATGGCACAAGATGAATGGCCTCCTTCATTTCAATTTGAGAGCATTTCTATCAACTTTAATGACACGAGAGAATGTCTGATGGGAATTTATCATTAATGAATGGAAATGAGAATTGGAAGAAACTTTTCAGTTTTATTATCTAATTATTCTCAGTAGTATTGACTTGTGGCAATTGATTACGATGCCTTTTCTGATTTTTATTGAAAAGTTTTGTTGATGAGAATTTTTCATTTATGTCTAAAAGTTACCATTAATTGGTCCCTGAATATTATTATACTAATTGATTGTTTATTTAAGAGACAAATCCTTTGGACAGTCTCTATTACAACTTAATTGAAATTTTAATAATCAAAATTGTTCGACATTTAAATTCTTTCATAATTATTATCAATTTATGTATCAATTATTAAATATGATCGCACTAGTAAATTATCAAATTTGTGCAAGCTTAAAACTATTAGTATTTGATATATTTTGGATATTATTTCTAGTTGAAATCTAAACTTAATCAATATTTTTAAAACAGCCATGAAAGTTATTTTTATTTTCTTAAAATTTCTTCATTAAACATTTTGAAAATCAAACAAAAAAGAAAGAAAGTGTGGACTAAACGGGTAGTTTTATACTTAAATTGAATTAATTACTATAATTGGGAGAAATATATTTACTATCATTGTCAAAAGTATTTTACAAGTGAACTATATTAAAAATTTTATTGAAATCAAATAAGAAAGAAATCGAATTTTACTGCAATACAGAAGATTTTGTCTGAAATACCCGAAATACCATAATTTATGGCATTCTAAATTGATGCTTGCCTAACTGTTTATTTGGGTATTGGAAAATTGCACAAAATATGACAAAATTTTCCATTTTTGGTAACGGATTAGAAAATGAGAATCCTTTCTATTTTGTAGCATAATTTATTATTATATGTAAAATTTAGAATAGCAAAAATATCGAATAGATTTTGAAGATTAAAACAAGATGAGAACTTTTGAGTTTTGTGGACATTTAAATATTGGATAAATAACTTTTTGAACTTTTTTTTGGAATATTTGCTAAATTCGAATCAAATTTTAAAGAAAAGAATAAAATTCAACTGTCCTCAACTTGTTTTAAATCTAAACATGTGATTAACTTATTGAATTAAAAAAAATCTAACAAATCACTGCAACAGGAACGAATCAAAAAATAAAATAGAAAATATTACAAACATGAATCTGCGTCTTAAACTTTAAATGAAAAACATTTCGTGTATATTATCTGTCTGTACAAAAATGAGAACTTAATTAATGTTTCTTAGATAAGAAGAAAAATAATAATTTTTCAGTGAAAGCATTAAATTGGATGCTTATGGTTAATAATTAACAAAAGAAAAGAAAAATTCTCTGAAGGAATTTTGTGATCATGTTCTAAGATATTTTGAACCGTAAAATTATCGAGGAAAGAAAAATTAAGATAAAATAATCAATGAAGGATGGAAAATTGCTTAATTTTAATCACTTATTATGACTATTACAGAAAAAACCGGTTTGTTAAGGTTTTAGATTTTTGAAAAATATTTTCATAGCTTTTTTCAAAAGTTTTTAATAAAATTATTTGTAATTTCCAATTAAATTTATAATGATTTTTGCAAGTCATGGTTTATCAGCAGCATAAAACTTTAAAGAAAATAAAATCAGATTTTAAAAGGCCAAAAAGAAAATGTAATTTGAAAATGAACTTAATCCCTTTAAAAATTAGTAGATAAAGAAGTTGTTTGTTCATTGCGCCAAGAGAAATTCTGATTTAATTCCATTAATCTAATTTTCAGCAAACAACTTCACAGAGTACCTGTTCAAACATAAAATGAATAACTCTCGGAAATTAAATTTTATGGTTTTATATATTTTAGTTCACAAATTTATTTATTTTAAAATAGTTCACATACCAAATGACCAACAAAACATTTAAACTTGAACAATGCTTCCAAATTTTTTAATTTCCTCTGAGCAATTTTCCTTCCACGAAGACCAAAAAGCAGTCAAGAATAGAATGTGGGAAAAAACTTTATAAAAACATTTCAAGGTATAAATAAATGTAAACTAAACCAAATTTCACAAAAACAATCTTTAAAAATCCAAAAAAAAATCCAGTTTAGTTTTTTATGAAAGATGAGACAAATGTTAAAAGTATAAAAGTTTTTTAATTAAATTTGAGAAGAAAAAAATAAATTGGAGTAGAAAATAAAAATGAAACAAATTTTTGATGTAAAATGATTCTGTTTTTGACTTTCTTTTTTTGCACAATTTTCTATTTCAGGAAAGCTTTTTAAACTTTAAAAACAAAGATTCTAAATTCTCAGTATTTCAGATTCCAATTTAGGAACACACCATAAATAGTTAAGTGACCAGAAGCATATATAACGGAACTAACAAAGAAGCACCTTAAAAACAGAAAAAAAAATTATTTTCAAAGATAATATTCACAGCCGATTCAGTTGCCTAACAGAGAATAATAAACATGATAAATGGACATGAAACATCCTTGCCTCACACTATTAATCATACACATTTTATTCAACTTGACAATTTTTTTTTGCTTGTAAAAAGGAGATTATAAAGGAGAAGAAAAATAGCATAGAAAGGATATGGAAAGGATATAAAAAAGTAGGGCACGAGCAAGATCCACAACATCCAATTTATTGACCTTATGAAATGGAAAATAACATTCTCAAAATAAAATTAATGAAAATTTCATAAATTTTTTTTAAGGTTGCAAAAATTTCTAATAAACAATTGATAAGAATTTCAGAACAACAAAATATGGCAATTTAAAAATTATTTTTATTTAAATCAAAGAAATTGAATTTCTTCATCAGTTGTGCTGAAAAATTTTATTCTTATTTTCTTGGAATTTTAATAAAAAAATATTTTCTCTTGAGATGATAAATTTTTTACAGTTTTTGACTCTTGGCTGTCCTTCAAGCATTTTATTTTAATGAATTTCAGCAAAAGAAAATCTTTTTGATTCTTTCTTGCTAAAAATAAAAAGCTTCTAGACAACTTCTTTTTTTAAGAACAAAGATAATACCGGAAAACAGATTCTTTTGAGAAAGTTTTTAAAATATTTTTTATCCTTAAAAGGATGATTTTGACTAATTCTGAAGAATTTTTGATTACTTTTGTGCTTGTCATAAGCTATGAGATGGGAATTCTTTCACATTTTTCAGTTGACATATTTTGACAACAGAACGACATCCTTTTTCTTTTCTATTTCATCGAATTCAAATTTATATGACATAAGCTTGGAATCATTCTTTAGGTTTGTGACATTTATTTTAATTGTTAACGTAGAACGATGCTTTGTTTTTTTAATTTTTGCCAGATTTCAGCCCATTTGACCAAACAAAACACAATAAATTTTGAAAATAAAAGACATTAGAATAGTGAATTCCAAACTATGCTCTCAAATTTTATAGTTGAGTATCTGAATTATTGAATGTGTCCATAAAATGATCTTGCTTTGTAAGTTTAAGCTCCGAAAAATGTACTACAACTATGATAAATCTATTTTTTAAAACTGCAGCAAATGAAAATAAAGGTATATTCTCGCCTGTAATACAAAAAGTTATTTGCACGAGGACTCTCATTAAAAGGAAACTGTTTGCGAATAAAAATTGTATCTGAGTAAAATTGGAATATTAAAGATGCAAAATAGCTACTAACAATGCCTTTTTTAATTATTAACATAAAGAAGCAAATCTCTCATGATAAATTGGATGCTTCGAGGCTGTACTATGTTACACAGTCTGTGTATTTATTCTTTCATTGTCCTTTTCGTTTATTTTGAATTTTTTTTTGTTCTCAGAACAAAGAATAGGAAAGAAATGAGTAGAATATTTTCATTATTTGCAATGGCTTTAAATGTAGGTCAATATTTATGAATCATGACAAAAAGCAATTGCGGAAATTTCTTGAGATTAAAATCATAATTTTTTAAAGCATCATAAATTTTAATACCTGAATCTCTTCCACCGACCTTGTTTTTTTTTTCTTGTGCAAAGTTTCTGATTTCAAGCTTTATTTTCTTAAGTGCTATCTGATTGATGTGATTTGAGGTTACGAAACACCAGATGGACAACTTTACATTAAAATCTCTAAATTCACCTTTACACATCTCGGCATATTAAGCATATTTATAAATGAGCTTCAATATTTTATTACTTTTCTAGACCTAATCACTTTTTAATGTGAACTTTAATCACCTTTTGTGCTTTATTAATAAGAAAGCAAAGATAACGGAAAGTCCATCAAGAGCACTTCTGAACAGGCATGAAATGAAAATATTTATTTTTCACACAGCCATGCATATTAAAAGCAATCAGTGGGAGTGAATGAGAAAATTATGGAAAGATTGTAATTGCATTCGTTGAGAAAAAAGGACTTGAAAAATTAATGGTCGTTTTGAAAAGAGAAGGTTTTTATTTATTCAAAAAATTCTAAACTGTTTTGAAACTTTCTTCGATTTCCTTCAATTTTGTAAGTTTTAAATTAAAATAAATCTAATCATCCAAACAAAAAAAAAAACTTCAAGATCAACAGAAATATGATTAATAATTCCTTTAAAACAAAATAATCACAAGCATCATCTAATTCATTTCTGAAAAAGGTTTTCGGTAATTTTAGTGATTATTAGACGCGTAGTTAAGCTTTTCTAAAAACAACTTACTTCACCCCCCCCCCCCCTGGACGTCATAAGTGAACGGCCCCTTTACAAAATTTCACAATTTATTGCCACTTTTTTCTGCAGATTGAGCAATCTGAATCCGATTATTAGAGTTAAAAGTAAACCTTTTCTATTTACTGCTATTAGCAAAAATATATTTGAAAATACCGAAAAACTTTGTCGATGATTTAGCAATTCCTGTCATACTCGTAAACAAGATTTAACGAAAAAGAAACACAAATTGGATATGAAAAGTTTTTCTGTGAATGATTTAGTGCTATTTGACTCGTTAACATGCTGAGATAATCTGAACTGATGATGATTTGTTATGCTTTTGGCATGTTTCTAAGCTTGCGATATTATTATGGCTCTTGATGATCACTTTGCAAAAATTAATGCCATTCAAATTTCCATAAATTCTGAAAATGAAATCAAATTTAAATCAAACTTCAATGCTCATCTGCTATCATGCACATAATTCGATCTTCATATCCAACATACAATGTCCGTCAATCGAATAAAATTGTCAACAAAATTCAATTAAAAATATCGATTCCATTTTTACAAGCTTTTATTAATTTTATTTTTCACATTATCGATGCGCATATTAATCAATAGATATGTTCTATTTAATTGATATATTCACTTAATGAATTAATGTTAAGCGTCATTGAAATGGCTTTTTAATGTCAATTGACGTGTTGGACATAATGAGATGACAACGATTAATTTTTATGATAGTCGATATGCCAATAAAAATTGTCAATTATATGAAGTATTTTATGAACGTTAATAGAGTGTTGTCATATGGATGTCTTGTTGTGGGATGAATGGCGATAATGAACAAGTGACTTTATTTGTGATAATTGCAGGAGCTTCAACTTATTACATTTTATTAAATTTTCTTGAATTTTTGACAAAAAGTTACTTCTCCCATTTTAAAAATATAAAGGCACACGACACAGCAAAAAAGCCCCTCTCACATGCTTCACAAGTCATTTGCCTTCTCAAAACATAAAAAATAAAATAAAAGAGACGAAAAATCAATTTATGATGATTTATAGCTTTTTGCGTGCCTTTCATCATCATTTCCATCTTTCATCTTCTTTTAGACTTTTTAGAGTCTGTCTAAGTTTCCTCTTTTTTGTATTTTCCTTTTTTAACATATTTCCTTTCTTCCGTCTTATTGTGACCCACTTTTTGTTATCAAATTAAATTTTGTAGTCTTCGGAAATTCAATTTATTCACTTAAATTAGCAAACATTGGATGGAACTGCTAACTTACTTAATCAACTCAAGCATTCAAATTTGAAATTTGCAAAGTCATAAAATTTATCGAGTTTAGCTCACGTTTAGGAGCATGTCTCAATTATTCTTTAAAGGGTGACTAAATGTAAACGCAGCTGTCACATTTCAACATTTGATGCTCTTTTCACTTATTCCTCTTAAATTTTTCCTTCACTCGACACACATTCAAGCCTTTCATTTTTTTTGGAATTGAATTTATTTATTCATCAAAAATGAAATAAATTTTCTTGTGATTGCTGCTTCAAAGCCTTTCTTTGTGGTGCTTGTTGTGTAAATTTAATTCTATTTTTGAAAATTTTCTGTAGATATAAAATCAATCAAGGGAATTGTTTTATTTAATTTTGTACAAAAGCTCTCGATTTCATTCAAGTGAGTTCCATGTAAAATTGAGAAAATTGTTCCCTTGCTATCAACCTTTTCTAACCTACATTGTCAGATTGAATAAGAGCTAGATCAATTTCATTCTTTTTTCTGTACAAATCTAATTTAAAATTAAATGAAAAAGGTTGAATTGGTGCTTATAAAATAAATCAAAAGGTAATAACTTTTATAAGTCGTAATTGATTTTATAGACGTTGAATGAAATTTAAGACCATTTAAAATTATATATTTTTGAAAATTTATTTTAATTTTTTTTGAAAATTTTATAATATTTTAATAAATTACTATTGCTAATATTGCGGTCGTTCACTTATGTTGTTCAATTAAATGAAAAGAGTCATAAATGAATGATCAAATTCAGCATCTTAACTCAGCCACATAGAACAGCAATACAGCCAGGTCCTATTGGAATTGGAGGATGTGGTAGCACGAAACTACAATCAATGAACGGATTTTTTCCAATATCATATGAGCAATAGCATGTAATTTTGTTGTTCTCTATGGCACACATACTTTGCGGTCCACAATATTTTTGACAATCAAGAGTTTCAGAATCAACATTTACAGTAGAATCACTTTGACCATTGAGTTTACATCCAAAACCAGTTAATGGAGAATATCCAGTCATACACGAACAATGACGATTGTGATCAACGATTGTACAAACTGAGTTATTTCCACATGGAGATTTATAGCAATAAGAATAACATTTATTGTTTTTTAAGTTGCATACTTCATTTGATTCACAATGTGTGTCATGTTTACAGCCTTTCACACATTGATGACTTTCGGAACTGCAAAATTCTCCATGCTTGCATTTTATTGACCATTCACGACATCCTTTTTTGCATAATTGATCATTTAATCTATCACAATATTCATCCTCATTACAAGAATAATCATCTCTGCAGCCTTTAATGCAAGTTCTCTTTTGTGAGTCACAATATTCATCAGTTTCACAAGAACCGTCTCCTATACATGCATTAAAGATTTTGCAAATTTTTTCATGTGGATCACAAAATTCATTGTATTTACAAGTTTTGTTCAATGAAGATGAGCAGCTCAGTGATTTCAAGTTCTTCAGATTGACGAATGAAGAAGATAAGCTGATGATCTGAATAATTTACAAATTACGTAAATCGATATTTTAAAATGTTTGTAAACTTACTATTATGTAGTCAATAAGCTTCATTATTGACACTGTTAATTATTTTTGATATTGAAAGTTTAAGTTTTTTTTTTTTTTGATATTTAGGAAGTCAAAGTAAATCTGAAATACCAAAGAGATAAATAAGAACTGAACTTTATCATCCAAAACTAAAATATATTCTGCAGCAAAAAATTCAAGTTAAATTTCTCCTTTCTCAACAGTTTTTTTCCCGTTTTTATAATTTATTTATTTATTATTTTTAGTTTAGGTGTGTTCGCATAAAGCATGAATTATGGCTTTAACGTGATAGGTCAATGACACACACACACATTTTTTGCGATAAAATTTTTTTTTTTATAATTTAAATATACAATTCTAAAATAATACATAGATTGAAGTTCGACTGTCAGGTATTATGAAGTAAGTGACTTTAACAATTAAAGCTTATTCGATCACGAGTATCTTTTTAACACCAATAATATTATAAAAATTTATAAAATCCAGTATTATGATATATATGCCACGGAACGAATTATCTTTGCTGAAAAAAATTGGCTAAGAAGAAAACAAAACCTGAATGAACTGTTGATTATTTATTTATGACAAACATAAATTTTATTGTGACTTTTCATTTGATTTAAATAAAATTAAAGACTATTTAAGATAAATTTTATAACATTTTAAATAAACCTTATCACACATTTCAATAAATAAATTTTACCGCCATTAAAAATCTACCAAATTACAAGCAGATTAAAAATGCCACTTTACTCAACTATACTAGCATTGCTTGAAGAAGTTGGTAGAGGAGGGACATTAGGTTGCAAGACTCCACAATCAATGAATGGATTGTTTCTATTGTCATTTAAACAGTAGCATGCAATTTTGTTGTTCTCTATAGCACACATACTTTGGTGCCCACAATATTTTTGACAATCAATATTGTCAACATTAACATCCACGATAGAACCACTTCCACGATTGCGTTTGCATCCAACTCTTCGTAAAGGAGAATATCCAGTCTTGCACGAACAATGACGATTATTGTCTACTATTGTACAAACAGAGTTATTTCCGCATGGAGATTCATGGCAATAAGAATAACACTTTTTGTTGTTTAAGTTACATAGTTCATTTGATTTACAATGTGTGTCATGTTCACAACCTTTTTCACATTCATGATTATCAGAATTACAAAATTCTCCTTTTATACAATTTCCTGGCCACTCACGACATCCTTTTTTACATAATCTGTCATTAAAACTATCACAATATTCATCGTCATTACAAGAATAATCATCTTTACAGCCTTTAATGCATGTATTCTTGAAGAAGTCACAATATTCATCGGATTTACAAAATTCATCTCCTCTACATCCACTCGTGCAAACTCTTTTATGTGGATCACAAAATTCAGTATCTTTACAAGATTTGTGGTTCCTACAACCTTTCATGCAATCACCTTCATGAAATCTACAGTACTCTTCGATTGCACAATTCTCGTCGTCATCGCATTTTTTCATGCACACCTTTTGGATGTTGTCACAATATTCATTTGACTTGCAATTTTCTTTGCATTTTGATTTACAATATGGAGGCGCTCCATAAGCAAAAGAATTGCATTCACAATACGATAACTTATTTGACTCTTCGAATGGATCTTCTTCAATACAAATTGCATGTGGTCCACAAACTTCAGGAAATGAAGACGAACAGCTCAGTGATTTCAAGTTTTTCGCTTTGATGAATGAAGAAGACAAGCCGAGAATCTGCATATTTTAAGAGTCAGGTGAAGGTTACAGTTTCAAATGATTTTATACTTACAACTAGGAATTCAAATAGGATCATTTTTAATCTTATAAATTATTTCTAATTTTGAAATTTTTTATTAATTTTGAAAATATATTTAAATTTATGGAAATCAAAGCTCAACTTAAATACGAGACAGTAAAATAAAAACTGAACTTCGCTTTCCAAATTTTAAATACATTCTGCATCATGAAATTCAAGTAAAATTTCTCCTTGTATTAAGTTCACACTTATTTAAGGTGTGTTCAGACATTGTAAGAATTTTGGCTTTGACTTTATTTTTAAAAATATTCCATGGATTGTAAGTTTGATGCCAATTGCGAAATTTAAGAAGATCTTGAAATCTGATTATTGCTTGTTATAAAGTAAATTAAACCCTGAATAAACTGTAAAAAATATTTTTGTGACAAACGTTAGTTTTATTATTTTTAAGATTCATCCTACACAAAGAGAAGCAATACATGCTGCAGATAACGATGTTTCTCCAGTCGGTTTTATGCTACCTCCATAAGCACCAGAGCCAGATTGGCATCCAGTGTATGGATTGCCAATGCTTGGTTTTGGACAGAAGCAAAAAATTTCATTGTCAGCAGCTATACACTTGGAGTTAGCACCACAAAAATCTGAACATTCAAATTGTTCAGTTTCATCAACTATTTGGCTTTGGATGCAGCCAATTCCTTTTTTGGAAAAGAATCCATCAAGACATGAACATAATTCTTCGTGAAGTCCTGCTGAGCATTTCGAATTCTCTCCACACGGTGATGTTACACAATTTTTCTCACATACCCGTTCATTACAAAATTCATCCAAGTTACAATGACTATTAGAAATGCATCCAGGAACGCATCTATGATTTAAGTCACATATTTCTTTTGCTTGACAGTTGTAGTCACCTCTACATCCAACTGTGCATTGACTATTAATATTACTACAAAACATATTTTCAGCGCAATATTCATCTGATTTACATCCTTCAGTGCATTTATGAATTTGTTGATTACAAACTAATCCATCGCTGCAACTGTTACTCCAACTACATCCTTTTGTACAGTTTCCAGTATTTGTGTCACAATATTCATCAAACTTGCAAAATTCGGGGCAAATTTTAAATATCGGGCCCATAAATGAAGGGATCGCAATTTCTTTCACGCACTTTTTATCGGAATAGTTGCAATAGAAGCCAAAATTACAAGAATCATATCGACAACCTTCCAAACATTTCTTATCGAAGTTGCAATATTCATTTGAATTGCAATCTGCGTCAAGATGACATTCTGCATAAGTACAAGTTCCTAAATTACAGTACTCATCAGGTTTACAATTTTGATCAGATTGGCAACCTGCTTTGCACTCCGATGACTTAAAATCGCAGAATTCAGTTGACTTACAATCATTATTATCCAGACAAAACTCTTTGCACACTCCATTAAAATCACATTTAAGACCATTTAAGCAATCTTCATTTGATCGACATCCTTTCCTGCATTTATAGCTCTCGAAATGACAAAATTCATCTAATTTACAATCACTATTAATTTGACATCCTTCTTCACAATTTCTGGTTTTTAAACTACATATTTGACCGCTTTTGCAACTTTCATTTGATCGGCAACCTGTTTTGCACTGTGAGATTTCCAAATTGCAGAACTGATGCTCTTCGCAGTTCTCGTTAAATTTGCAACCTTTGATACATTCTCTGTAAAATGTGTCACAATATTCATTGAATTTACAAACTTGGTTGCAGTAGGATTTGCAGTTTGGTGGTTTTCCATAAGTTCCAGAATCACATCGACACCTAGGTTCACGTGGATATTGATCAATACATTTTGCAAATGGGCCACAAGCATTTAGTGGTGCTTCTGAACATTTTGTAATGTTTTTTGAACTTTCAACTAATGTGTTTGTTATTATCATTGACTAAATTAACAAATGCATATAAATAAATTTAATAATAAATTTTGGAAACTGGAACTTACCACAAACAGTAGTTTAAAAATCATCTTTAATAAATCTTCAGAAGTTAAGCTTTAAAAATTATTTTTTGTGAGACGTCTGGTTTAGTCTGTGGTGTTGAAAACTCTAAAATCGTTTTGTTGATACAAAGAAGAAAACTTTTACGGCACGTGGATTTTAACACATTAATAATATACTTGCTAACAACAAAGCATCTTACACCAGCACTGATTGCTATTGTATACTTGTTTGGTGATATTTAAGATTTTATAAATTTTTTTCTTAGCGTGGAATTGAATTTTGGAACAAATCGCAAATACATTTTTTGGTCAGCTCCAATATGTAGGTACTGGAACCACCAATCATGTGTTCAGAAATCATCAAATTTTGTAGACACAGGAAGCATATACGGCCTGCTTCACAGCAGTGGATTATCCTCATTTTCGGATTATCTAGGAGATAATATTTCTTGGGTAGATAATCCAGACCCATTTCAATTAGAATGATTATCTAGGAATAAGGTGACCATCTAATTTTTATGAAAATACAGGACATTTGATAGATTTCCGATAATTTGAAAATTAACGGAAACTTTCGTGAAAAAAAATACAGGACCTGGAACAAAAATTTTCAAATTTATACAGGACAGGGTTTTGAAATACAGGACTGTCCGTTGTAAAACTACGCAGATGGTAAACCTATCTAGGATCGGGATGCATAAAAAATCTGGAAGAAAACAATTTATCACATTTTGATATTTAAGAATTTTTTTTTGCTGAGGATCACCCGGATTTAAATATCTTAAATATCAAGAAAATGCTTCTTAAAGAGTCGCAATCAGTGATTTTGATGATTATTTTACTTTCCTTCAAACTTTATTTATTTTGTCTCTTCGTCACTCCATTTACGCATTCATTCATTCTTTCATTCATTCAAGAAAATAAAGATTAGGTCATTAATTTATTTTAAAAATATCAAAAATTGTGATATCGATATTTGAATCGGTTCCCGAGCACGCTACAATGTCTAGTTAATGAGATCTCAAAATCCAGCCGAGCAGCCAAACAAAGTGCATTAATAAGCTCCCTTTTTGAAATAAGTTTCAAAAAGACACAAAAAATATAACATATTGCTGCGGTTATGAAGCTTTTGCCGAAAGCAAAATGTTGATGAAATTTAAACAATCTAAGAGCTCAAAAAAAAAAAATTGGCAGGACGTTGGGGCATTTTAGCCTATTGGGTACACAAAAAGTGATTTAAAGATGTTTAAAAAATTTTACCTTCATTTCTTCAGATGCTCCTTGGAATGTGTTTAAGTGATGTGTTATGGATCTTTATTAAAAATTTATAGCCTATTTATTTGTATATTTTATCAAATATGTACATGACTTACTGCTGAAACTGCAATTATTGAATATGGAAAGTTAGCAATGCCAATGCCAACATCAAGCGAATACAAATCGAACAGCTAAGACGTCCTCGCAAAGTCAGCATTTGTAAATTATGGATAATCGAGTTGCCATATTTTCACGCATTCTGAAGAAATAATTCATTGGATTCTATTCAAGCTGCATCTGTTTAAGTTGTCATTGCATTTATATGCATGCATATGCTCATTCATCTTATGATTTAAAAAAGCGTCATGCATCAATTTAGTGATTGTGAAATTATAACCTCTTGTTGTAGAATGTCTTCTTCCGAACGTATTCGTCTGTGATCCCAAGTAACCAAAAGGTAGATCAATTAATTAATTTACATTGTGTGTCTGTTTATTGCATTAAAGGTTCAAGAAATTTATCACCTAAAACTTCATGAGTATGCATACATCCCAAGTAACCAAAATGTTCCACATAATCTTTCGACGTCGATGGAAGATCAAATGTATCATTATTTATTATATGTAAAATTTTTGTTTTACAAACATGTAAATTTGGCATTTGTCATATACTTTACAAGAGCTCGCAGAAATCACTATTATAAGTTCTCTCTAAATTTGTATGGGGCTTTTAATTAATTATTTATTGTCCTCAGGTTTGTGTGCGAGTCATGGACGTTCATCAGTATGCGACTTAATTAAATTAAGTCCTTTTGTTCTTTTTCGTAGTGTTAGTGTACTATAATTAAGTACACACTAATACTTTTACAAATTACAGGCCAATAACAATTAATCCTATTCTCGCGAAGATTTATGAATATGTTTTGTACAGAAGATTAAACGATCATATAGAATTAAATAAAATATTACATCCCAACCAGTTTGGTTTTGTTAAACAATCAAATACTGAAACGGCCACGATACATATTCTTCACGAAATATATCGCAATATTGACAAGAAAATGGCAGTTTCTTTAACATGCATAGATCTTTCTAAAGCCTTTGATTGCATTCAAATCGATATCCTCATTAATAAAATTAAGGCGCTTGAGCTAAGTAACCCATTTCTAAATGTCATAAAATCATATCTAGAGAACAGAAAACAGTCAGTAAAAATCGGGAGTATCCTCAGCAGCTTTAAATTTATAAAAGAAGGAACACCACAAGGCGGCATTTTATCAGGAGAGTTTTTCGATTTGTACATTAATAGTATTTTCAGTTTAGATCTGTCAGGGACACTTATTTTATATTGTGATGATATAAGTTTAATTAATACAGGAAGCAACGCTGCGGAATTAAAATTCAATATTGAAAAAGATTTAAAGAAAATTAGTGATTGGTTGGATCTTCATATTTTAACTCCGAATATTTCAAAAACGAAATACCTCTGCTTTCACAATAAGAAACAGCACGAGAACTTTACAGAAGCTGCATTAAATTTAAAATTCAGAGGAATTACTCTGGAACGTGTCGATAGTTGCAGATTATTAGGTTTAATTCTAGATGAGTCACTAAGTTTTAATAAGCATATTGAAGAAATTCAAAAAAAGGTCATACCTTTTGCATATGCAGTCAAAAGAATAAGAAAATCAATCTCACAAAAAACAGCACTAATGCTCTACTTTGCTTTTGTTCAATCAAGACTTATTTATATGAATATCATATGGTCAGCAGCACCTGCATACGCGATGAACATGATCGAAATTACACAAAGAAAAGCACTAAGGATCCTCTTTAATAAGGACTGGTTCTGTAGCAAAAGAGAATTGTATAGTATAAATATCCTTCCAGTGTCGACACTCTGTAACGTCAATCTTTGCTTGCATGCTTTTAAAATATCATCGAATATGGTTAAGAATAACATTCAGATTAGACAAGTCAATGATATTCATAGATATCGAACGCGTACCAGAGAAAATTTTGTAACTCCCAACTATCAAACGCACCTAAGCAATCAGGATTTTTACGTTAGAGCATTTAATTTATTTAATTCTCTACCTCCATTGGTTAAGAATAAGTTCTCATTAAACATATTTAAAACTAGAATTAAGGAACATTTTTACGAATCTTATTGTGAAATTAATAAAATGTCATGTGATATACATAGCTAGTCATAAGAATTTCTATTTTGTATCTCAATTGCAAAATTATATACAAATAAATCAAACAAATCAAAAAAAAAAAAAAAATAATTTACACAAATAAAAGAAAAATACAAAAGAACACGTGGAATTTAGCAAGTGTTTTATCCAAAAAAAAGTAATCCATTTGTTTTACATTTGCATTCCTTTGATGTATTACATTGATGTCTTATTGCATTGTACATTTATCTTCCAATTCCATAGGACATCATCTTTCGATGGATAATACATGGAGAATACATTGATCTACCTTTTGGTTACTTGGGATTCGACTTGTCCGTTTTGTCACCTTCTTCAAAAAGGGCGTTACTATACTTAACTTCAGTCAGTCTGGAAAAGAAAATTGTCAACCGAAAAGACTTTTATTGATTAATTTTTTTAATTTTATGACGCAGTACATAATGTAATTTAAAAAATTTAAAATTATTTGACATCTAGGGACATTGTTTTCATGACATGCCATTTTATCGATAATATTTAATATGCATTTTTTAAGATCTACTACATACATTCTCGTTAATACACATTCAAAGACATTCAAAGAATAAATTGGAATTAAGCCCTAGCGAGACTAAATAGCAAATTGCTAGTCTTTCTATTCTACAACTTGCAATTTACTAGTTATTATTAAAACAACTTACTGTTAATAAATTACATTTGCTATTTATTAGCAAATTACTAGCAAATTACCACGTGAAATGCTTGATTAAATCTGATTAAGTTCGAATCTTACAGATCAGAAAAAGAATTTTTTGCGTCATAAAAAGAATTTTTTGCGTCATAAAATGAATTTTTTTGCGTCATAAAAAGAATTTTTTGCGTCATAAAAAGAATTTTTTGCGTCATAAAAAATTTTGTTCTAAATTTGGCATTTGCCATATACTTCGCAAGAGCGCGCAGAAATCACCTTTATAAGCTCGATCCAAATTTGTATGTGACTTTCAATTAATTGTTTATCTTCTAGCAAGTGAAAATGCGGGTCTTTGGCGAAATTTGAACTTGGATTTTGACCAGTAAATAGTAAGTAGCAAATGGAAAGTTATCCAGTAAATTACTAGTAAATTTCTGCTAGGGAAATAATCTTAATTGTTGTGACATCCTTCATCTTCAAAGTATCAAATTTTAATTTTTTCTAATCAAGAGGGAAGAAAAGAAAGAAAATAATGATCACAAAGCTACAAATTACCAAACATGTTAGATGTCAAATTTTTTTGATCTCTTCCTAGAGACTGCTTGTGTCCTCGCTATCTTCTTCCAATTTGTTGTAAAATTTTCTAGCTTCTTTGTTAAACATTGAAGACATGGCGATGCAGAACTTGAAACGGGCAATGCTTCTTCCTTAGAAATGGTATCAGTTGCTTCTAATTCCTCATTTTCAAAATTTCCTACTATTCCTATTACTGCGACTTTCAACAATTGTTTAAATATTCTGACATTCCGTCGAATTTATATATTTTATGCATCAATATTATGCCGTTAATTGTCAGATCCACTCGCACTTAAAAGCTCACAATATCAGATAACAAAAATTCGATGTTCAGCTTACATTCCTGGAAATTAAATCAAAATTCAAGCATTAATCTTTACAGTTCCATATCCCCCGTTCGGTACATATTAAAATCTATTGATCACAATTGATCTGAACGGCCAGCGAAGTAAGTGAGTAATTGAAATGGAACATACTTTTGATTTCGTCGGTTATTCTTATTAGCTTGTTGTCC